ACACTACAACAGCGATGACCTGATAAACTTATATATATATATATATATATATATATATATATATATATATATATATATATATATATATATATATATATATATATATACTGAACACAATTTCGACATATAAATAATTTATAGCATCACATATATACATCTATGATATGTTTATATATTTTTACGACCGCAAATATTACGTGGAAAAATCATCTGACTGAGACCCGCCTGAGGAAACACTTGTCCTGTTTCCTGACAAACATTGTAACCTAACATTGTATATTATGTACAGTGACAAGGTCAGTTATCCAGGGTACATTAAGGTGAGTTATATAGAGCAGTTATACAAGGTCAGTTATCCAGGGTACATTGTTAAGGTGAGTTATATGGAGCAGTTATACAAGGTCAGTTATCCAGGGTACATTGTTAAGGTGAGTTATATATATATATATATATATATATATATATTATATATATATATATATATAATATATATATATATATATATATAAATATATATATAATAATATATATATATATATTATATATATAATATATATATATATATATATATATATATATAAATGATATGGGGTGAACCGGTAAGCCAGCGGAAGGCCTCGGACATACGACCGAAAGCTCCAGCGGCGGGTCATCATATGACTAAAACGCGCGTCAGGAAACACTTGTCCTGTTTCTTAACAAACTTTACCTAACCTAACCTAATGCTTGACCGTCATGGGCTCGATTTGCTAGTATCCAGCATAAATTAACCAAAAGCTGGGCCTATAAATTTCCCTCCAAAATATTTAATAAACTAACGCTGAACCGAAAGTCAGGTGGGGAAAAAAGAAGACACCAACGACCACCTGAGTAATGTAACTGAAGAAGTAAAATCGGTCAGTTGATATTAATCCTGAAATATTTTGGTGCCTTTTTCACACAAGAAAAGTGATCTTTTTGAATTATATGAAGAAAAGATACACGTGTAGAGATAACTTTCGCTAACTTTCGCGCTATGTGGTTCATGACACACGAACAAACACTTGTGATGCTTCATTATGGAAACGTTTCGGTCCTGGGACACAGTTCGCTCCTTGTGTCTTTAACCATAACATGTGGGGAGCTGATACTAGTCCATCGGCTATAAGGGTTCCCGTGGACATGAAATATACCTTAAGTTACTATTTAATTATACTTACGTACTAGCGGGTTACTTGAGGGATGAGGGTAGAATCAGGGTAGACTTCCTTTAACCCGGCACTGAGAAAGTGGCATCTCTTTTCATGATCACGACAGAATTTTTTTGCTCCAATATTTTGCGGTTTGAGGACCTGAGATTTTTTTTTATGATTCGCCGGTACTCTCCCGGCCCGGGTCTTTTCCAATAGTGGTGACCCGGCCTTGGCTCCCTGTCCGGGGAGTATCTCGAGACCAAAGTCTCCCATGGGAGGAGGTACAAGTACCCCCTCATCCTTAGGAGCAACTGTTCCCAGGCCTAGCCACAGTCCCAGCCCTCACGGGGCTCGTAGGGAGAAGCTAGGCCTCTGGTCTGCCATCTGCCCCGCCCCAAAGGGGCTCGTGGGGATAGCAGTCTTGTGAGCCGCAGGTGGTAGCAAGCTCAGGCCATGACTTCCCTGAGATATTGTAGCAATATCTTCCTTATAAATAAAGAGAAATACATTGTTGGCATTACTGTAAATTAATGTGATTATATGTATTCTGAAAGGCACATTCATTATTATTATTATTATTATTATTATTATTTATTATTATTATTATTATTATTATTATTATTATTATTTATTATTATTTATTATTATTATTATTTTATTATTATTTTATTGTGGGGAGCGCTAAACCCGTAGGGATTATACAGAGCCTGTGAAAGGGGGGGATTGGAAGGTATTCACACTTAATTCAGAGAATTGGAACACAGATCCAAATTCCCTAGATGAAAAGCCCCTCATTAGCATCAAGGAATCTCCCTCGAAAGCACAGCTCCCTATGGGAACGAATTATGTGAGTAATCTCTGTAGAAACCAGTGAATTTTCAGATTTTTCAGTTTCGTGACGACTAAGGTGAGAGGGACACACCACCTAGTCTTCTACTGTCTCCAGTTTCAATACCTTGAAATGACCTCTGCGTTGAATTCATAAAGCCACTAGTTGGCGAAACGTCTTCAGAATATATATACCAAGTTGTTGCACATGTGTCTTATTCATCATCATCATTAATGAATATACAAACTCAGAACTGCTATCCTACCTCAGATCATTAACAGGCTCAGAACTGTTATTCTACCTCAGCCCCTTCTAAACCCTAACCTTATGTGAGGTATACTATCATCCCCTAAGATGCCACCTACAACACTCGGCTAACACCCTTCCTAGTACCTGTTTAATGATAGGTGAATAGGTGCAACAGGTGCAAGAGGAATTAGCCTAACACCACTTGTAAAGGACTAAACCTTGTTGATCAGCTAAGTAAAGTGATTAGGTAACATAATTAAAATTATACTAATGACGAAGACTGGGCTTACTCCCATTCCCCAGGTATATCCAAAAACACTTCTTTAACATTAGAGAGGTAAAGAAATGAGTATGATTTAAGCAATATGACACATCAGTATCTCACAACCAAATGACCAGGATTCAGTCCTGTGCTTGAGAGACATACATGCTTGTCTCCTAGTACCTGGTGCCCCTGTTCACTGTTCACCTAGCACCTAACACCTGGGTGTTAGTCGACTTTTGTGGGTCCTACCATATAGAACAGTATATCTAATAGTTTGACATAGTTACCCACAAAAAAAATACATAGAAAATGAACTTGAACTGCATCAAAGAAAATGCATTATGGTCAACTTATTAATTTTGTGAAAATTCTAACCTTTTTCTTTCTCTTTATATTCACTGCTCATCTGTCCCAGAAAAAAACATCACATTGACCCTTGATCAATAAATGCTTGGAAATCATCCATTTCTTTGCACATCATCATCAAATCATCTTAAAGGAGATTTTTTTTAATCGAGAGGGTTAGCTCAGTAAAGTCAATATGTCTGGCTTTTTTTTCCAGTGAGGTCTTTTTATAATTTGCCCCATGATGCGTCCCACAACAGATGGTTAATAGGTACATACTTACTGCTAGGTGAAATGTCTTACTTTAAGCTTCCAGATGCTGCGTGTGTCTTTATCAACTGCTGCCTAATTACTGCTGAGTGAACTGGGTCAGCAGATGTAGATAAATGATTCAGAAAATCGACAAGTTGATAAATTAGACACATGGGCAACATTTGTCAATCTTTATTATGGAAACGTTACGCCACACAGTGGCTTCATCAGTCAAATACAAAGAAGAAGAATGAAGATCATAAGGTGAGTGAGGTAATCAGTCAGGATAATGTATTTTTTCTACAAATACATGTACAAGGTATACATGCCTAGTTGACATCAATGACATACTACTATATAGAAAGCGCTTGTAATGTAGAGCATTTCGGGCAAATTAGGTCAGATTTGTCCCAGGATGCGACCCACACCTAGAAAATGTACAGAGAACTTTCACGGCGCGCATAACGGAGATAAAACACCTCAATTACTGGGAGCGCTTGAGGTTTCTAAACCTGTACTCCCTGGAACGCAGGAGGGAGAGATACATGATTATATACACCTGGAAAATCCTAGAGGGACTAGTACCGAACTTGCACACGAAAATCACTCACTACGAAAGCAAAAGACTTGGCAGACGATGCACCATCCCCCCAATGAAAAGCAGGGGTGTCACTAGCACGTTAAGAGACCATACAATAAGTGTCAGGGGCCCGAGACTGTTCAACTGCCTCCCAGCACACATAAGGGGGATTACCAACAGACCCCTGGCAGTCTTCAAGCTGGCACTGGACAAGCACCTAAAGTCAGTTCCTGATCAGCCGGGCTGTGGCTCGTACGTTGGTTTGCGTGCAGCCAGCAGCAACAGCCTGGTTGATCAGGGGCTGATCCACCAGGAGGCCTGGTCACAGACCGGGCCGCGGGGGCGTTGACCCCCGAAACTCTCTCCAGGTAAACTCCAGGTAAACACCAGTCGACTAACATCTAGGTAACCATTTTACTGATGGGGAACATAGACAACAGGTGCAAAAATATAAACCCAGTGTTTCTACCCTTGCCGGGAATCTAACCCAGATCCTCGGCGCGTGAAGCGAAAGCTGTAGCCACCAGGCCACGGGGCACCGTGCCCTGGTGAAGGAGCTTGGTGGACTGATTAAATTGACTCCAGGCTGAGGGACTGATTTCTTCAGTCTCCTTCTAATCTTCACTATTCTTCTTGAACTGGACTAAGGAAGCCACTGTGTGGAGGAACGTTTCCTCATTACAGATACCCAAGTATTGCTCATATGTTTATCAGGGTCAGCAGATGTCATGAGATTGACCCATATATCTTCCTGTGTAGGGGGAAGGGCGGCGGGGGATTAAACCTGTGTCCTTTCCGTTGTGAGCAAAATGATAACACAGCTACGAGAAGGATGTATATCTCAGATGAGTTTATACTGGATGTGCTGAATAGGGTATAAAATACCGACAGTTGGGTATCTTTATTTATGAAACTTTTCACCTACGAGGACAGGTTCTTCAGTCAAATACAGAGAATGGACTAAAGGTTGGAGAAGTGGCGAGGTAAAGATGAAGTAATCAGTTCATCAACCTTGGAGATATAGTTTGAGGTGGTCAGTCCCTCAACCTGGAGAAGAGTTAAGGGGCTCTTTATCCAAGGAACTGGATATATCCTCCCCTTCCTTGAACTGAAACTCATTGCTTTACATTCTCCAAGTGCTGTACTTAGCTTATAGGTTTAGCGCTCTCCCACAAATGTGCAAAAATAAAAAATCAAATTTAATAAAATTAAACTTTATAACAAGTCACAACAACGCGAACATTAATACAATTTCCAATGATAATAATAAAAATGAATACAATAGGAATAAAATACAAAATAAATTAGTAAACTATATATTCTTTATTACGATAAATATTTTACATATAAAATGGTTTGACTTCTTGGCACTTAGTTACACATTCAGCACTTGTTATGTTTGACACATGCGTTATTTTTACCATGAAAATGGAATGTAACATGATACCATTAAAAATAAAATCCCGGAAAGTAATTGGTGAAGATTTATGATAAATCATTGAATATTGGAAGACGTTTTAAGGCAAGTTCCTTAATGCTGGTGATTGGCTCTTGATCTATGGAATTAAGGCTACCTTCTCTCTTTTCTTGGATTAAACCTGATGACTTCCCATTGTGCAGATATTGTGTGACCTTACAGGTTTAGTGTTTCAAAATCAGTGTGATACTAATAAACAAATTTTATTACACATAAGTCACACAGCGCTGCATAATAATAATAATAATAATAATAATAAAATAATAATAATAATAATAATAATAATAATAATAATAAAGGCTGACCCGTAAATCTGGAGCCAAAAGGTCAAATAAATATTTAATATTCAGACATTCCTGAAATTAGTCACAATATCTCTGAGTATAGCAGTACAATGGATGAGTTACATATAATGCATGAGTTATTACAACATGGACAGGTGTCCCCTGGAAATTTTCAAGGCATGGGCGTCCATGGAGGGAAGAATATGGGAAGAGGGAAGCCATCAATATAGTTTTATTCCCCTTGAAATAAACCTGGTCTGATTTTTATTGTATATCGGCATGGAATTTAATGAATTCCAGATTATTATATTTAAAAAAGCACTAAACTCACATGGGTCATTCAATTCATGTGAAGTCTAGAGACGAGAGATTGTAAGCATCATTGGAAACCCGAGAGAGATGGTGAAGGACAGTCAACGGTACGTTGAATGAATCGACTCAATGAGCAAAGCAAACATTTACAGAGCATTAACCCTTCGTTGGATCAAGAGCACTAGCATCGAAGGATGATAGTGCTTTTGATCCAACGAACTAGGGTTACACTCTCCTTCCTTAGATCACACTTCATCTCCTTCAGTTTCTCAGGTGCTGTTTGACAGCTACAGGCTTAGCGCTTCCCTATAAACACAATAGCCACATGAATGTTAAGACACTATAAACGTATTTTAACACAATCCGTCTCCCACCGAGGTATGGTGACCCGAAGAAAAGAAGGAACACTTTCTATAGTTTTTCTTCTTTTTACATTTAGTAAACTATAGGTCTTAATATAATGCCATATTCAAGTGAAGAATTATTGTAATTGTTTTTTTCCTTTGGCAACTATAACCTGTAAATCTGAATTTGAAATCACAAAAATTAAAAAAAAAAAAAACTATTACAGACGATTGTTAAGTGCTGAATATTATTAGTAATATTTAAAAAATCTTATATTTACATATATCAGCTATAATATTTTTTACAATATGTATATACATTATATACATTCCTTGAAATTACAATAAAATCTTAACTCAACATCGTGTACTCTGTTCATTCAGATTTTGTTCTCATAACACACAAATACCACATACAACTTATAACTTTTTGTCTTGTAACATACATTATCAGGGGTTTATGCATTATGTATTACCCTAATAAGTTTAAAACTATTTTTGTAGATGCGGATAGTCTCATTGTATGTGTTTTCTATCCGTGTCCGACCTCTTGTGTGTCTCTTTCACGAACAGCAGCGGCAGCACAGTCAGTGAGACACATCCAAATAGGACGTAACTAACCCATAAGTGATCTGAAAAACAAACGGAAATTCAGTTAATCCATTAACTAATTTGGTGACGGACAGTTCGTACTCTGTATTAGTAAATGATGGCAATGGTGATGATGGTATAAAATACCGACAAGTTGATGATTAAGACACATGTGCAACAGTGTATCTTTAATAAATATACCTAACTGTTGCACATGTGTCTTAATCATCAACTGGTTGGCAATACATAACCACTAATAAATGAAAAATTATATACATGATAGTTCAATAATCCTCTGAATTTATTTCAAAACCATGTAGGGCAGCAAGACTTCTAGCAAAAGAATATTTCAGACCAACATGTGGTTATCCTGCTACTGTTGATAAGTGTTCATGAGTCTGGATACACCATTATATTAACTATTTATATATTCACTATATTGAGTATCGTATATAATGTATGGTACAGCGGTACAGCCTGTTAGCAAATTCACATTCTCTTCCGTTGTGTCAAGATTCATCTGATTCGAAGAAAAAAAAAACTTTTCCTCCATAACTTCATATCATAAAATATATATAATTTACCAAAAAATTAACCAAGATATGTATGTTATATATTATGTTAAAGCAGAGCTCACGGTCTTGGTTTATAAACTAATCGTTTTCACAATCAAGTGTAACTAAATTTAGGCTGACTGATGACAGACTGGACAACATAAAGGGAAATTATATTACCTTAATTTTAGCAAGGTTAGTTAAAGTTGCTAAATATAAATAAAAAACTGGACAATTTGACTATAAAGAAATACATAATATACAGAGAAAGACTGTAGTCAGTAGGATTTGAAGCCACTTGTGAAGGACCTGCCTAGTATAGGCCAATAGGCCTGCTGCAGTGTTCCTCTTTTCTTATGTTCTTATGTTATGCTAATAACTCCCCAATGTGACACCGTAGACCACTCAACAACGTATACATAAACATACATTCATACATAATTTTTAACATAACCTTAATAAGTCTGCAAAACCTGGTTTTTAGGTTCATATGTTTTTGCCAAATGAATCCTTAGCTTCCCATTTCTCCTCTACTGTATACACAGTACTGCGAAGATATACAGTATCTGAATAAGACTTCATGGTGGTAAGGAATTCTTGATTCGATGAATTGAAGCAACTTTTTATTTGCTCAGATCAAACCTGTTCCCATTTTTCTGGTTAAAGCTCTTCCCCACGAATCGAAAAGCAGCAATAACATCTGGGTAAAATTATTAACTCACTGACGATGGGGATCTGAAAGAGTCCCAAGAAGACCAGGGCAACCAGATTGAAAGTGAAGGTGAGCATGGCTCCCGTGACACTTTCAGGGATTGGATAGCCAATCTCAACAGCCAGTTCCACCAGCAATGGTACCGTTGCATACTCAAAGGACACGCCGCCTGCCACGGCTACATACACCTGAGCTGTTAAAATACAAGAAACACTGTATCAGAATCCTTCACAAACGCATCAGCATAACTTTGTTAAATACGCAATTGTAAATGGTAACCATGATGTCTAAACGTCAGAATGTGGTAACTGCCAATTTTGACGTTTAGACTATGTTCATACAGTGCAAAATTGCGCAGCGTTTGCTGGGAATTACCACCTATTCATTTTGAATACTAAATATCATTATAATTATTGAAACGTGTCTGCAACAGAATCCTCATATAGACTACATCCTCCCATGACAGAAATCAAAAGACGTTTCACACGATGATATGATATTTTTTTTACGATTTACAACCATTAGCAGTGGAGAAACTTTGTTACTTTATTAGATGACAAACAACATTTATTGATCATATCTCAATATGCCTGTAAGAACCTTAAATTATGCGAGGCTGTAGATATTATTTATTGTGCTAACATAACTACGTCCAGCATCATGTTGCGTGTAGCAGTCTAAAATGAAATCGTTACGTAAATTAAATTCACATCGAATAGGTTTTTAATTTTTCATTGCAACATCTTTATAAGTTATTTTTCTACCTAGGCTTTCAATTACTTTATACAAAATGACATCGATACCCCTGAACACTCAAAAAATTAAATGAAAATAGATGTTTACGCTTTTACTTTACAATACTAAAGTCTCGAATAAACAGAATGGAATCAGCAAACTTATATTTCTCAGACCTTCGTCTCTTCAAGGGGAAGTGAAATGATGTTGGTGAGGGGCTCTTGATTATAGGAATTGGATTCACTACCATTAACCTATCGGATGAGAGGGAACTAGTGAGAAAAAAGTGTCTTACCTAAGCTAGGAACAATCACTTCAGTGGTCAGTAGCAGGAACCAGAGGAAAAAGATTGATGAGAGCACCAGGAATCCCATGATTGTAACTCTCAAGTGACCGTACACTTTATCCGTGATTCTGGCAGTGATAAATGCTGCTACGCTGGAGCACGACACTGCCGTCACTGCCACGCCCATGGCTTGCTCCTGCAAGGAAAGAAGCTGTGAGTATGTTTTACTCTTGACCGGTGAAGGGCTCATGGTCCAGCGAACTGAAGCTGGATGAGACACCCGTGGCCATGATTCCACATCTGAGGACGACACTCCTAGTTATATCCTTTTCAATCATAGTTATATCCTTTCGACCTTTCAATGGACGCCACAGAGAATTAATACTGATGGACTATGAAAAATGAGCCATTTTGTAGTAAATAATTTATATAAAAAAAGGTAGATTTTAAGAAGCGAGTTACAGACATTTACAAGTTGCAGCTATACTATTACAGCTTTATAGAGAGAAGAGTACGTAATGTAGACTATACCTGGTATATATTAATGTCAATCAAGGACAGGTTCAAGACCCCAATCCAGACGACAGGAATACCGAAAGAGAAGGCATAAGTTAGCAACACCAACAGTAGCGGAAGATTCCTGTGGACAACGTGTACTTCCATCAGTATTAAATACGTACATTCCAAGGAAAATTTCATGTTAATTGAATATTCTATGACGGGAACTTTCTGAAAAAAAAACAATTATAGTGAGTAATCAATAAAAAAAAATTATAACAAACAGTGCAATTACTGATATGGAAGTACATTATTATTATAATCAAGGGGAAGCGCTAAACCCGGAGGATTATACAGCGTCTAGGGGGGGATGTGGAAGGCATTCAGGCTTAATTCGGGGAACTGGAGCACAGATCCAATTCCCTAAATCAAGAGCCCCTCATCAACATCAAGGAACCTTCCTTGAGGGGCATGGAAGTACAATATACGGTTCAGTAAAAAAAAAAAATTATCCCTGATCGCACATATTAATGTATATACAGCAAGTCAAAATAGAGTAGTCGCAGTCAGGGCAGGATTAAGCAATACACCTTTGGCTACACTGAAGGAACATAGGCAGGGCAAATGAGGGAAGTAGGCAGGATGAAGAATAGACAGGAAAGAGGCAACCAAAGGAATTGAGAAATGCGGTCACGGGATGGAGGAGGGGAGAGGACAGAGAATGAAGAAAGGATGGGAACAAGGCAATTAAAGGGAAGCCTATATGTTAAATACACTTTAGTGATCTGCCTCTCCTATGGTAAAGAATGGAAAAAGCCAAGAATTGGTAATAAAGAGATGGGTAGCAAAGATTCATTTACAGGATTCTTTGCTATCAGTGCTTTCCTTTTCTGTTGTTGAATAAGTTTTACTGTATACATATTAAGGTAATCAATTATATAAGAAAATAATTAAGGAGCACTGCAGCAGGTCTACTGGCCCATGCTAGGCCAGTAAACTCCAGAACAAGAGGGTATTATGTTCGAAACCGAAGGCAAATAGTGAAAACTGCATTAAAAATTAATGAACGAAAGTTATTTGCTTATTAAATTACTTGTCTCTGGTAAGACAGTGGTAAAGTGATGGTGAAAGTGTTTCTTCTTTTTTCGGATCACCCCTACCTCAGTGGGAGGCGGCCGGTGTGTTTAAAAAATCTATTTCCCAAAACAAAGCGGAAATGTAGACAACTGAACCACAGATGGCCATCTCACTGAGAGACACCCGCCATCACTCTATAAGAAATTCCAGGTCGTAATGGGTTCACCAATATATTATCGAGTTGTTATAATTATAACCATTAAAGGGGTGCACGGGTAAGCCATCGGAAGGTCTTGGTTAGGTGACCAGATTATTATAATCAAAAAGAAGCGCTAAGCCTACAAGGGTTATACAGAGCAGCGGGACAGGGGGTAGTGCAAGATTATTCAGTAGCAAGGGTGGAGTAGACAACAGAGGGAGAGTTAGAAAGGGCTGTGAGGAGAGCTAGAGGAAGTAGCATTAAAGTTTGTGTAGTAAATCAGTTGCTGTCAAAAAGTCAGTGAGACAGTCTGAGTCAAAGGTGAGTCTCTCAGCAAGGAGGAAAGATAAAGCAGTGACTACGTCGAAGGTAAATTCTGCGTGCTTGTTGATAGACAGGACAATCCAGCAGAATATGGCTAACAGAAACTGGAACCTGACAATTCCCACAGAGTGGAATAGGGTGCCTCTCCATGAGATACCGGTGAGTAAGACGGGTGTGCCCGATGCGAAGACCAACGTTGTTGCCAAGAGTTGCGAAGGCGGTTAGAAATTACAGCAAAATAACCTCTGAATGGAACACCTCTATATGAAACTGAGAGGTATCATGTACTGCTGATCTCGCAGCAGTCAGGTGACCAGAAGTTCCAGCTACGGGTCATATGACTAAGACCCGCGGCCGGAAACAGTTACCCTGTTTCCTAACCTAACCTGGGTTCTTGACAGAGTGTTCCCTTTCATTAGAAAGCTCGGAGACTTCAGTTTTTCTGACGCTGTATTACCCTTATGGGTTTAGGTCTCTTTCCACGAATGCAATAACGAAATAATACTCCTTTTTTAATTAGTTTTTATACACCTGCCTTAGATTCCAAATCCAGCACCCACTCGGTCCACATGTCCCGGGATATTGAGCTGTCTACTTCTAACACACTAACAAGTGTACTGTAAATAATAATGCACACTGTAACAAATGAACATAAGATCGTAACAACAACGATAGGAATGATAATACTATTAACAAAGTAATGTAATGTAATGTGACTACAAATGATAATATTAAATTCTTTACAGGAGTTTGCTCGTGATAACAAGGTGAAAAGTAAAGACTGAATGTTTAAAACCTAGAAGTTCAGTACTAGATACAGTATAATATTATGTATTCAGTGATATATATTATATCATTTATTCAGTGGTACTGTGTAATATTTTGCGTACAGTTGTACAGTATTTTTCTTATTTGGACTAATGCATACATGTAGTTTTCTGAATACTGTAATCGAAATGAATACCTTTCTCTTATAAGAAAAGATTAATTAATGTACTTTTTCTGAAATCAAATTTCGAATTTTTCCTCAGAAAATTCCAAAATTTTAGAGATCATTCGAAACTGAGAATTTCAGAAAATCTCCATTGGAAAATTCTGAATTTACAAAGATTTTCTAATATAAACTTATGAATTTACACATTCCTTCAAAAAATTTTCTGATTTACACTTAAGAATTACACAAAAAAAAATGTAAAAAAAAAAAAGTGAATTTTTTTAAAAACAAAATTTATATCACGATTTTTGAAGAATTCCAAACAATAGTCACATGTATCATATTTTTATCAGAAATATACCATGAAACTTGTATTATCCAGTGATACTGAGACCAAGACTGTACCATATATGGATGTCTCATCACTTTACGAGTTTCTACAACGTAATTGTTTCTAAAAAAAAAAAAATAGCGTAGCCTTTTATACAGAACTATTTTTTTTAATTTACTTACCTTAAAATATGGTGTAGTCTAATTGGGATAATATATAATCAAAATTACGTCAAGAATTTTATATTACTAACCACCCATGAAAAATCAATAGATCACTTAATTGACTCTTGTAACCATCTGATTTTTTTTTTTTTTTTTTTTGGAACCGCCTTATTTTCAGGCATAGATCAACATTTAAACTCCCAGGGAGAAAAAGTAATATTCTCAGCTTATGGATAAGATATATATTTACAATGCAGAAATATTACAGAACTAAAATTTTATTTACATTGTAAGTGAGAGTTGGGATGTTTCAGACTCATTTTTTTTTTAAATATACCTATATGGAATGAGGTTCTGCAAGTAGATTCATTCGAATTGTGTTATGGAATGGGTACAATTCCATCTAATATTTCTGTGAAATTTAACTTTTTTTTTTGAGGAACATTTTCAAATATATTTTTGTAGTTTCTCAAGGAATATGTGTTTGCAATGTACAATATATGGAAATTCTTTCAGTATGTGTTATGTATTTTACTGGGCATTACACCACAAATTATATCTGGATCAACACTTGTAACACCAGTGTGTGATTTTATGATTCAAGAAATCGTAATGACACGATTGAAAACAAACCACAGCACGGGCGGGGATTGAACTCGCGTCGGTCTAGAGTTTTACGACTCACCGCGAGTTCAATCCCCGCCTGTACCGTGACTGACCTTATGTTGTTACGTGTAAAGTTGTACATTGCAGAAGAACACACGAAATTATTCTAAAAACTGAAATGTTGACTTACGGAAAATTTTTGAAAAAGTTGCAGGCGGGGATATCTTTGATTGTTTACTTACTGTAACTAGACTATTTTTTTTCCTCATAAAAAGTACGGTAAATAAAAATGGCAAAAAATATGAGTATCACTAGGTACGAACTGATTTTAAGGGGCCATTTTTTTTTCTTGGGAGACAAAACTCTTAGCCCCACACGCACGCACCATCTCAAGAATACATTTGTGTTCTATTAATTTTAAACTGGTATTGCCAACTACATGGAGGGGAGAGGGGATGCAGGAACCTCAAAGGCTGCTAGATACCGAAACACCGGGTAAGACAAGTTTCACTGTATATTAAAACTGTAGTCTTCTATACTTTTATGTTATGCCACCCACTTGATGATGTTTCTGATGCCACTAAAGAAGTCTATCCTTTCTTTCGCTGAGGACGCTGAAGGCGGCGTCGGTGGAGATGATGGGAAATACACAATAGCAACCAGTAGCAACAGAGCAGCAGCGCCGAAATCTTCCGGTAGAGTTTTATTAAAAAAAAAAGATTAGTATACAATAACATAGCGAATAATAGCCATAATACTACAGCTGAAAAATTCACCCTTAACCCAAAATTTGGAAAGTTCGAATAAAAGATATTATAAAGAGTTAGAGTTATGTGCAATAAATAGTAAGGCGTAGATGATAGGCTTGGAGACAAACTCTGACACAAGAATTTTAATATGAAAGAGAAAGAGCGAGAAATATGAATGTGAGAGACTTGAAATTAAGGTAGGAATAGCTTTAATAATAATAGAGTATTAGATAGTACGGGCATGTTGAATTAGTGTATGCTTACACATTAATGATGAGAGTACACACGAGTGGAGTAAAAACGAAAGAAATAGACAGAGAGGTCAAGAGAAACATGAAAGAAGAGTGAATGAGTACGTGGGGTAAGAGGACTGTGGAAGATACCATATATTAATGGCAGCTAGAAAATGGCACGTTTAATTTTGAAACATAATCTTTTATATATGGCCAATCTCATTTATATTCATAGATGACACAAAGTTACTACACATGATTTATAGTGAATAAGAGATGAGTGATGAATAAGAGATGAGATGAATAAGAATGAGTGTTTACTTACGAATATACATGAGTACCATGATGTCCCCACGAATATCATCTGCCTCAGCTATGGTAACATTATCCTTCCTGCTTGGTGATGCCACAATCAGTGGCCCCATATACATGGCAGCACCTCCCAACTGGCACATGAGAGCACCCACAGCTGATAAATGCATAAAAAAATTAGTTTGTACTTAAAAATTGTAACGTACAGTGGTGCATCCAGATATCTGAGCTATCACCAGAAATGGTATGCCATTATGATATATCATAATGGCAAAGCGGACAATATCTGCTGATTCCAAGAGTAAGTGGAGGTAGTCAAGAATATTCTCAGGCAGCGCCATCCAGTAACATAGGAACTGATCCATGCTCCGCTGAGTCTATTTACAAAAATAAATAGCACAATACTGTTATTGGAACAAAAAACAGTTAACCTGCGCATAAGAGAAAGAAACTTATGACAACATTTCGTCCGATTTGGATACGGTCCAAATAGGATCGAAACATCGTTATAAGTTTCATTCTCCTCTGTGCGGGTTATTTGTGTATTCTGTTTACAAGAACTCGCCAAGTGAACATGTGGGTGAATTTGTTTACATAACATTTTGTTGGCATTCTGGTACTTATGATGAAGAAAACTTATGAAAGTGTTCATAGATCATTAGTTACTGACAGTAGCACTGGCAAACTTCGGGTATTGTACATGTTCCGGCTAAGGGAACAAGGAAAATATTAACTGATAAGAGAAAATTTCCATTACTCAAGAAACTGAATAGTGGAGTATATACAGCATTGAAATGTTGAATATTTATTATTTAAATAAAAAGATAGATCAACTACTACCTTCGAGGAATAGGATATAATCAGCTTTGACTTATGAAAGGGGTGAGATAGCTCCAGTTCATGGGATCAAAAGCCCATCAATACCGTCACCAGAGCACCCTCCTCTAAGGCAACGAAAAATAAAAATAATTACTGTGTTTACTGAGGCCAAAAAAAAAAATGGATTCTTACCAGTGGCAGTGATTCTTTCATTAGGAGGAAACCAGACTGCAGCGATCATAGCTGGCAGCGACAACGTCATGCAGGCAGCGAATGCAAACAGTATGGAACTAATATGGCAGATCCTGAACATAGATAATGAATTCTTGTTAGTGATTCGACAACGAAAATGAATTATTAGGCATTTCACGCTAATATAAAAATGGTACAGGTAAGTTTCAACATTTGTCTGGTAAACTACTAATCAAGAGGGTGCCAAAAGACAAATAATTAATAAAAATGATGTTTACATGGCAAATTATATTTTTTATTACATTGAGGCCTGGTCATGGGCCGGGCCGCGGGGGCGTTGACCCCTAGAACACCCTCCAGGTACACTAACACAAAGTGGCTAAGCCGATAACGGTGCGGAGAAAGACCCACACATGAAAACAGCCACGGTCATGTGATAGATATCCGATAAGTGAACCTTTATCCGGCCACTCTATCCAGGAATGTACCAGGTATCAGACATTCCATCCCCCAGACTACCTGAGCCTCGTCTCTTGCTGGATGCTACACTATGTAAAACATTCTGAAGAATCCTTCAAGTAAACATTTATTGGTTGCTGAAATAACCTCTACTGTAGGGCGTCTACTGCGGCCCGTCCCTGACTACCTCTTACCCATTAAATGACTATATTGGAAATTAATTATAATTGATAGAGCTTATAAATAGAAAGAATAAATTAATATTATACCGCATTATAAACAATTACTGTATGATGATTACAAGAAAATTGAAGGTGTGCAATTGGGATTCAGACTTACAACGAAAAAATATTATTATTATTATTATTATTATTATTATTATAATCAAAAAGAAACGCTAAGCCAGAAAAAATAATAAAATATATAATACTGACCAAGAATATATTTGTAATATACTGAAATGTGTTTAATTACATAATTGTGATGACTCACACAGTAAATGGAGTTTCTTGTGAAGTGAAGCAACGTAATACTGTGCCGAGAGTGAGAAGCAGAGTACATGTCAACACTGCCAGTCGCAGACCTAGCAACACGGGAGACATCATTGATCATAGGCAGTTATACATAGCCTATCAATATTTATGTATTTTAAGTTTATGAATATTACATGTATAATTTTTTTTTAAATTTCACATTCATGCAACACATTTAATAAAGAGCATCTGTATTATTTTTATTTAAGTTAATGCTTATGATAATGGTATATGGTAATGACAAGGAGATGAGTAAGACACATGTGCAACAGTTGTGCATGTATTTCCTAAACGTTTCGCCTACAAAGTAGGCATCTTCAGTCGCATGCAACAGTAGACACCAGTAACAGTGGAGGGGTAAAGATGTGATCAGTTCCTCATCCTCCAGTCTGTAATTTTGAACGAGACTGGAACTAAACACCTCTCCAGGCTGAGGGACTGACCGCCTCCAAACTACTACTTCAAGGATAATGGACTATCACATCATCTTTGCCTCTACACTGTTTCTGCTGCCTCCCCTGTATTCGACTAAAGACGCCTACTGTATACGTTAAAGTCTCTAAGCTAGTGAAACACTGAACCAGAGACGAGAATCTATGAAAGTAAGTCATGAATGGTTGAAGCGTCTAAAGTTTCAATTTATGAATAAAATATTTCACTATTTATGTATTTTTTTCCACTGAGTTACATTGTGTCCTCTCTACACTACTCTCACCTAACTTCTGCGTAATCCACATCATTGGAATGGTGAACAACACAACAATAATCGGGCCCCAGTTTGGAAAAGCAGCTATAGTTGAGTCCGTCCAACTAGGGAATGCTACCAGCGCTGATTCAGCAATAGGTCCAAACGTTCCCCACACAGTGGTCTGAAAATACACATAATGAATATAACAACAAGGCAATTAGAAATATTGTCCTTTGTACACTATCACTCCCAAGAGGCGACCCACAACAGTCAATTAACTTCCAGGAGCCTATTTACTGCTATTTGAAGAAGGGTAACGGAGAGTGCTAAATCCGTAAGGTAAATTCATTGATGTTAAATACAACACAGATATGTCAACAAATTAGACTATTATATGCTAACTTTTTTTAATTTTCGAATATTATCGGAATTTATACTGATGCATTTCTATATCAGTATAATTATGCAATTAATTCGAGCTTAGTTAAAACTGTTTCTTGAGGAACAATATAATTATGTTAATCATCTGAGTCTGTACGTTTAATCATGTATGAACTAAAAATGCACAAAGTCTGTTTCTCTTATATGTTATGTGGGAAATACTGTATATATTTTCCAGAAATTCAGTATTTATATGTAAATAGATGGCCATACTGTATTTAATAATATTTATGTCATAGAAAACGGAAAGCCTGCGTCTGGGCAGACGAGACTCGCCATCTTGGTTTTGAATTTTGTACAAACGTTGGTGTAATGGGAAGAATTTTTCGTGCTCTTGAGGTTAAAATTGTGTTGACACCTCTCAAATAGGAGGCGAAATTGGTGGATGTGCATTCCTGCATAACTTGAGATATCAGACGACTGGACAAGACAGCTCCAGGAACCTCAGATATGCTCTCTAGATTTGTGTGTAATTCTGGCCAGCATTATTTTCATAGATTTAGCTAGAGTGAGGTTTTCTGAGTATGATACACATTAATCTCCAGTCAAATTGGTGAGTGATATTAAGATATATTTTCCTTCTGTTATGTAATTGTGTATATATATAACCATTTATTTTTAATATACAGTCCACAAATTTATATATTTACCAGTATTCCTGGTGTACGTATATTTCATTTAATTAATAGGTCCAGAGCAACTTGTGGTTATGACAGTGGTAGGTATCGAAGGGGGACATTTTTTTTCGACCTAGGTGTCCCAAATACCTACTTGTCTATGTAACATTGATAAATAATAATTTGTTATCATTTACTGTTATGTACATAATTAGTTACATTCAGATAAATGCAATTTTCCACATGTTATATAAATTTTATTTTTGTAATGAAGAAGTCCTGTCTGTGATTATTCATCACACACATATTTTAATTAGCTGAAATAGCAAATATAGGTAATCAGTCCATTTCTATTAGTTCATTTAGACTGTAATAAATACTGAACACAGCCTATTTTTGCTATAGGTGGGTCAATTTATTCCTATTTAAAAGTCATTACTTATCAATTAATCATTGGTATGCATGTCAAATATGATTGATTGTATTGTCCTCAGGTTCCATGTTGTTTCGGTTCTATTGTGTCTCCTGTCTTAAAATTTATTTTTAAATGAAAGTTTAGATTACATCAAAATATTTTTTTTTTTGTGGGGAGAATGATAGTTGTACTAAGTCGACATACACCGTAGTATCGACTTTAAATACGGTATGAATTAATATTTCTTTATAGTGTAATTTCAACTTATATTCCAGATTGAGCAACTTAACTGTTGCTGTTGAGACAGCGGGACAATTATCCTTACTATAGCTATATTTACCTGTAAAAGAGCGACGAAAGAAAACACGGCTAAGATCCAGAATCGTGTCCAATACGTTCTATAGGTGTCCTCCTGTGGTTCAGCACCGGTGTTGTTAGGCTCAGTGTTGAGCTCAGTAGTGCTGGAGAACATAGTGACCTTGACCTTCACGTCTGTGTGGAGGCTGGACACGTCTAACACAGCCGGGTAAGGTAGCGATGAGGAGTCGACTATGTCTTTTGTGAACTGCTCTTCGTCCTCGTCCATGGTCTTGCTCTGTCCAGTAACTGGAAAAAGGATAAATGCTCATATAATTATATACACGAATAACTAAAGTGTAATGAACACTTGTCAATGCTCAATAATAACCCACATGGAGAGAGAAACACAGGAGGATGATTGATCAGTATATTTCGACTCCCTTCTGGGATCCCCTTCAATTGTACACATGCTTAACATTGGTACTAGAGTAATAAGAAGCTTATTATCACTGATGATAGGATAATTATACTCGTATACCATTTTAACACTGATAATTGAGCAAGTGGAGACTTATACACACAATAGAAAAATAGAAGCTTTATAACACCGGCAATTTAATAATGACAGATTTATTAGCATTGACACTAAGGTAGAGGATTACTGACCTTGATAATAGGATAATCATAAGTTATTAACACTGATAATAGTGTTTTTCATAAAAAAAATTCCTCCAGCACTAAGAACAGAAGCCAGCCAGAGCCAGCAATCAAGAGGCCCGTGTCCTGTACCAGCACCAAATCCGATGGGTTATTTAAGCATAATGTATAAAATGCCTTCTAATCAGATCACAGAACGGGTGGGGTTTGAACTCATCGCAAGTGAAGTCTTGAAACTCACAGGCCGAGTGGTTAACTCACTGGCCTGTGAGTTTTAAACTCATTTGCAATGGGTTCGATTCTCACCCATTCTGATGAATGCTGAGAGTGATGACGACAGCCTTTGTGTATGTTCTGTTCTTGTTCTGTATGCAGAAAAAATCAATGTTGGAACAACGTTTCCATAAGTAAAGTTTTTCAAGTCAGAGGATTACATCCATTACCTATAAATACTCCTGGAAGAACAATATTGATTAATGTTTATCTGGAGAGTTTATCTGGAAAGCAGTTCCGAGGGTCAACCACCCGCCCGTGGTTTGACAGGCCTCTTAGGTTCGATGTCCCAGGTGCACCCACACCAGATCGAACTAACACCCAGGTACCCTTTTACTGATGGGGAAACATAGAACAACCAGGTAGAAAGAAGATACATCCATGTCTTATACTCTGGCTGGGAATCGAACCCAGACCCTCGCCGTGTGAGGGCCAGATGAAGGCTTGTTCTTCATGCATGTACCACGAATTTACATGCAAACACTGAATGAAGACAGTGTAAATCTTAGCATGCGAACGGAGGTGTGAACCTCGCTCTGAATGACTCATACGGGTTCAGAACCTTTTGTATATGTAAAATATAAATGAGCATTCAATAAGTGAGCACCTCACTTCTTGATAAGGAAGAACTTTCGAGCTTAAGAAACACCAGAATATTCCTCGGTGCAGTATTAAGACTTTAGTGTATCCTTGAGGTCGCACTGACGTTATGGGTTGGACAGAAAAGCTAGCAGAAGGCCTTGGTCATGCGACCAAAAATTCACTCTGATTAATCATATAAATGAAGGCCATCACCGCAATTCAATTGGCTTATAATGAAAGAAAATAATAAAACATTAACTACGATGTCAATATGTAAAAGCAATTTAACTTCTTTGGCTTATATGGCCTCGTGAATATTAAATATATAAATCTCATTCAAATAGGTTGGGAGCTCAAACTGAGTGGGAATGAGCTGAGAAACTAAGTGAGAAATGGAGAACAATCTCCTTAGACTCAAGAGTTTACTCAGTTGAGTAACTTACTCCAGCTCATCGCCTCACTGAGGTCTCCCAGCTCAGGCTGGCAGATTTCAATACTACTCACGTAAAATCCTGCATGATAAAATATGACCCGGAAAGAGTAGTTATCTTTTGTTTCCACTCTGCAACTGTCATATACAATAGGGTAACGGCACACTACTAACGCATCCAGTTTTGCTCAATTGAATCAGTGGGTACAGAAAGGAATTCATATTATCTTCATTTTGAGCAGCGTCACACGGAACATTGGCTGGCACTTGACACATCAATAGCATTCGTAACAAAACAGGACCATCAGTGTAAACTTGTACCACTCTCTTGTTTAAACCGCTGTTATGTTTAGAACCAGCTTCCTCTTGACCTTGGAAATGTGTGATCATTTACAAAGTGAAAACAACAATATGTATCATAATATTGTTTATACAGAACAATCTATAAGAACTGTGACAAGCAGTATCTTATAGAATAAAATTATCATCTATTAATTCCGCCAGGTGCTTATTATACTGTCAGTTATGGCATAAATGTCATTAAAATTAATAACAGGAAACTGTAATAGGGGATATATGTCAAGAATCGTTTATACATTGAATCTTTCACAGCTCGTGCCAGCCCATCAATCGTAGTAGTATTATGGTCGTTGAGGCTGGAACACGACAGGTAAATCATACAAACTTCTACTTACATTTGGTATATCCATACTCTTACTTTACAGTGTGCTGCTTAATAGTTCTCAATACTGTGATAATTACATTCTAGCGTAGGAGGCCTGGTGTGAGTTAAGACCCTGGGGAAGATAGTCCCACGAACCGTTAACAGATTAAGCATCTTTGTTAGTTTACACGCACACTCGCGTGCACACGCACAGACACACACACAGGCACACAGGCACACAGACACACACACACACACACAGACACACACACACAACACATACACACACACACACAGGTAAAATACTATACTATGTTTCTAAAAATGAAGATGTACGTCCTTCGTGCCCGCAAGTAATATTCCTCAGCTCCCGAAGAAGACAGCTGAGTGTACATTAGCATTCACCGAGCATCCATGGAGACGTGAGGTGTACCTGGGTCTCAATTATTCCCATGGGTCTTCTCTGTGCCTAGAGATTTAAGAGGATATTTACATGACTCGGACATCAGCAACGGCGCCATGAGTGTGATCCTGACAGCTTAGAAACCACTCATTTTATGGGCGCTAAGCTATTTATCGTTCTTGTATCTAGTTAGGGAGAATCCGGATTTCGGATGACGTCGCCGCCCCGACTGCGTTACCCATTCTACTAAACAAAATAAATATATTACTTAATTGAGCTATATTACTTGTGGTTCCAAATCATTTTTTTTTTTTTTGATCCAGATGGAATTATACTTGATTTTTAAATTTTGTCTGATGCTAAATTCTGTATTTTATTTTTCGGTTTCCACATCACCTCGGATACATTTTTCTCATGCGTGGAATATCAGATCGGTTATGAATGGTTCACTTAATGCTGCAGACACACTCCATCCAGGGAGCAGCTCATGCTCATGGTTGTTCCTGTATAAATTTATAATGGTTGACGTCTTGATCTCTCTCTCTCTCTCTCTCTCTCTCTCTCTCTCTCTCTCTCTCTCTCTCTCTCTCTCTCTCTCTCTCTCTCTCTCTCTCTCTCTCTCTCTCTCTCTGCCCCACGTGGCACAATTTATCTCAAGTATACAATATGAAATACATTTACATACATAAGATCTTTTCCAGGGAGATGCCTTGACACTAGTAAAGGGCTCATAATCCAAGCAATTAGAGCTACTCTCCCCTTCGATCGAACTTTGCTTCTTGTTCTCCAGGCCTTGTATGACCCCTACGAGTTTAGGGCTTCACTCTGATTATAACAATGCACATAAGATCTTCAGGCATCAGCAGTCGCATATTAAAATATACCATCATATTTTGTTATATTCGTTAATATATATATATACTGCATGATATTCGCCTCCATCCAACCCGGAACTAGTGTTAGGCAACACTGGCAGTAATTTATACCCTGGAGAGTAGAGAATGCAACCCGGAAGTTAGTATAATACACACGTTAAGGAAACGACTGACATACGAGAAAGAAACAAACTGTAACACAATGAATGAATGGAAAAAATTAAATAAGTATATGCTGTTGTCATATTGTTTAGTCTGAGTGAGTGAGAGAGGAGAGAGAGGTACGGAGGGAGAGCGAGAGAGAAGAGAGAGGGACGAAGAGAGAGAGGAGAAAGGAGAGAGAAAGGGATGGAGAGTGAGGATAGGATAGGACGGAAGCAGAGTAATTTTCTTTCTTTAATAAAATTGGATACATCAGTAGTGTGCTACTACTCTATTCACTATGAGAGTTACACAGTGGGATCAAAAACTATGTTGTTCCCTGTTATATTGCATCAAGTAGGATGGGAACTGAACCTGATGACACTGGAGGAAATAAGGACTAGGGGTTATATGATAACGTACAAAATACTGAGAAAAACTGATAGGGTGGACAGGGACATAGACAAGAAAAAAGGAACACGAGGGAACAGCTGGAGGTTGAAAACACAAAGGAGCCACAGGGATGTTAGGTAGTATTTCTTCAGTCTTAAAGCAGCTAGGAACCTGAACGACCCGGAGAGTGAAATGGTACGAGCAGGATCCGTACAAAGCTTTAAGAAGAGGTACGACATAACTCTCGAAGTCAGGAGAAAGTGAATCTATTAGCGACCAGCAAAGAGACTGGGCCAGAAGCCGAGAAACGACCTCTGCAACCACATATAGGCGAATACATATAGATGAGTACCTAGTTTAAATCTGTCTGATCGAAGCGGGAGACTGGTAGGGCGATGAGGATATTGTCCAGTGTTCTTTTAAAGGTTTAGCAGCTACGGGAGATTCAAAGGTTTCGTCCCGACAGACTTGGAGTTGATGTTACTCAGGATGGCCTATCCCGTCCTCACGAGAAATGGACTTTCATAAATATTTTAGAATGCTTCTAAACTCCTACTTAGTAGGTTTAAGGCCTATCCTCCGCTATTTAGCAGATTCAAGGCCTGTCCTCTGCTATTTAGCATGCTTAAGCCTATCCTGTGCTGTTTAGCAGGTTCAAGGCCTATCCTTCGCTATTTAGCAGATACAAGGCCGAATCCTCCGCTATTTACCAGGATTAAGGTCTATCTTCAACTAGTTAGGAGGTTTAAACCTACTGAATATTATATAGTAGATTTAAGGAGTTAGCGCACATTGTGAACACTAGACAAAGCGGTAGCGTATATTATTACAAACTAGCAAGTAGCTTGCGTTGCGGACAGCTAGTATGGTGAAATTTAATACTGCGGG